TGTGTTGAAATCCAGAACTTTTGTTGTTTCCCCTGTGTTCTTCTTTGAAGTAACAGCCTTAGAGCTTCGTCGACGAAGTTGGGTTTTCCTACACTTCACCAAGATTTTTCATACAAGGGCACTGTCTGCCAGTTATCTTGTATAATAATGCTCTTGGTTTGCATGCCGAACGTCTTTTTAGAGGAGTTCCTTAGAAAAGCAGTTGACTTCTAGACAAACCGCACCATAAAGCCACGTCTCTTCAACAAAAGTTGTGTTTTTTGTTAGTTGAAATTTTGGTACAAATGATCGTCGGGAAGAGTTATAGTTTTATTTAATTCTATATTCATGCAAGTTAATACGTATTATTATTATAAATCTTATAATATAACTTGTTTTTAAAGTTTATTAGTGTTGGTAAATCATCTAACATCTATCTTTGGATAAACCAATTTTACCGTATAGAGAGAAATTCTAATTATAATAAAATATATATGTAGTTTGTTTTGTAAACTTTATATTTTTTGGAAGTTTAGCAATATGTAAATAATAGAATAAACTTGGTTTTAACAATTTTATTAAAAATTTTAATTAGACTTTAGTAGTTTAATAGAGAATTCTAATACGTAGCAACAAAATAAAGATAATAGTTTTATGAATAAACCTATATTCACATTTTTGATAGTTAACATACAGTATATTAAAATCAAATACATATAAATTGTAAAAAATTTTTATATATATATGTAGAAAGTTTTAGTTCAAAAAGGAAGTGTAACATGAACAATAACAAGGAGTAAGTTGATAAAACATTTATTATGTTATATGTACGTTATAATTTATGTAAAAAAAAAATCTGATCTTTTTTAAAATGTCTAAAATATATCAGGTTGAAAATACAGTTTTGAGAGGCTTTCAAAACATAAATATGTTGCCTGTATTATATAGTCTCAGATATTACCAAATATAAAAATCAATTCACAACATAGTAAAGAATACTCTAGAATCAATTTATATATAAAATAACTAGTAGCAGGATCATGGACATGTTAATAATAAACTTTTAAATTAATTCAAATATAAATAGTCTTAAAGATATATAGTTTAGGAATCCCTCATAATCCCGGGAGCTTTATAAGGTGGTTGTTTACCAAATCAGTAAACAAATATGATTGGTGTAAATTTAGCCCTATAGACTAGTATAAAATAGCTATAGACTTAAATGGAAGTACTAAAAATTTTCTAAATATACAAAAAAGGGTGTGATCTGCATTGTCCGAATTTGGTAATATCCGAGACTGTTATACATCCCAAAAAAGTAGTATGTATATGCAGTAAAAATATAAAGCTTAATAGAAAATGGGAGGAAGATTATCTTAACTATCATGTTCAACATTCTGGATATAAAGCAAATGAAGGACAAAAAACAATTTATAATTAGTTTCAACTAGTAAAGCAAGATGAATATATTGAGAAAAAAGATAAATATGACTCAGATATTTATAATAATATAGATGATGACAATTTAATACAAGTTGACGAAATAGATAATAATTTAGATCAAGAATTTCAAGCTATTAATATTGAAGAAAGATTCAGTAATACCAAAAGAATTAAAAAATGATTGATTTGTGCTAGTCTTCAGTCTCTAGAAACAGTGTTGGCAAATGACTAGTTATTTGATTTTAAATAACCAAATGACCAAAATAATGACCAAGTCATTTACCATTTGGACATTTAAAATCAGAAGTTACACAAATCTAAATTCGGCAATTTTATTAGCTAGATCTTTACTATACTAATTTTATTTATAAGATAAACTTGTCATAAGTTAACTTTAAATTAAGCTGTATATGAGTACTCAGTTTAAGAGTTTCATGGCATCATATCACATACACAAGTGTATAAATACCAAATTAAATAAACCATCGGAGCTAAATTGGATTAACATCCATAATTGCTCTCCAACTGATAATCACAATATGATAAAGAAATCTAGATTAATTCAATAATTCGGGAGTCAATTATCACAATACTGATGAAGCTATTCTGGAAAAGAGTCACTCTAGTACATATCATACACTTTTTATTTTTATAATTTTTATATTAGGTTATTAGATCATTTCAACTTTCAAATGACCAAATGACCAATAACCAATTCATTTGGTCATTTGGTCATGTTCATTTGAAATTGCCAACACTGTCTAGAAATATAAAACAAACTTCTACACAATTTGGTGGCTGTTATCGTATTGAAGTTGTTGTATGTGAACTTTTTTCTCATTTATTTTTACAAAAATTTAGTAGAAAAAAGTTAAGTTCTAAACAAAAAAGACAATTAAACTGTATGCTCTTTGCAGAATCTGTTTGGAAAATTGACCAATCAAGTATGTAATTTATTAAAGTGTTAATTTAGTTTTTATAATACTTTTTAATATTTATAATTTGTTAAAGGTAATACAGTACGTGCAAAAACTTGTACTGAAATTTCCGAACAAGGAAATATATGTATTGAATATTGTTTTATTCAATATGACAAAAATTTACACAACAAAATTGTACATCCTTTACTATTACCTAGCAATACTAAATTTACACCAAAGTATTATTAAAATGATAATTCTTTAAAAAAGCATCTTCAAAATCAGGATCTTCGTGATATTTGGAATATACTTAATAATGAATTTAAAATGCAATCAGAAAATCCATAGGTTATTCTTGTAGACAAAGCTCTAAAAGGTGCTTTTAATGATATGCCAGTATTTATGGGTCTTTGTGAAGTTGTAGGTAATGCAATTAAACAAAAAATAAAAAACAAATCTAAACAGAATTTGAAATACAGTAAAGACTTTACCAATTTTTTAGTTATATTAGATGGAATTAGTTCAAGAGCTTTAGATTTATTCTGCCAAAATTTAGAAGGTCAAACAATTCAGTTAATTAGGTAATTAAATATACTTATTATTATTTATTTATTTATTTTTTTTTAATTCTTTGACAGTCTTGTCGGTGCTCAAATACAAATTATGTTACTACTAGACTAAAAACAAAGTTTAAAGATTTCTAATAATATCCAATTAACAATTATAAGCCCGGTATCACCCGGCTATATCATGTGCACCCAGATACGACTTGTCGCACCAACCCACAAGTGGGTCGGAAGACCTTGTCAGCTCTATTAAGAACTAAACCAAAAAGAAGTTGAACCATTCTCAACCCATTTATCAACACCTATCTCGAATAACCTTGCAATTTTAGCATCTTTCTCAATACCTACTACTTTACCTACTCCACTCGATTCGCCAATATTCCTGCTTTCCTTTACTTTTGACGTTGTGTTTTTACTGGTATCTTTGACACCTGACTTCTTTTGGTTGCTTCTCTTCATTGATATATCAATGCTGTTCTCTTTTTCCCATTCTGCAACTGCTTTACATCTAATTCACCAGATCTTATCAAGGAAGCTACTTTCTATGATCACCATATAACTGCCTAGTACTAGATTTATATTCTTCCTTGATATCTCTAAATCTAACAGCTCCACTACAACGTCGTTTAGTATAAGCCCTCTGATATAATCTTTTCTCCGCTTGGTTTGCTTTTCAAATGTACTACCGCCAATTGCTGCCTCAAACATTTCAGTAGATATTGACCTCTTGTATACATGATCTAACTTCTTTTATGCAAGCAAGCATGCGATCTTCTCTATAATACTCCAGTAGTTATCATACCCCGTACACACTACCAAGTGATCAAAAGTTTTTTTCGCACACCTACAACTTACACACATATCATCTAAATAGACCTCTGGCTTTCTTCTCTTTAACAATGATAATACTGGCAAATTGTCATTTATACACTTAATTCGAAAGGCTATATTTCTGCTTGCAACTCGTGTCTTGCACTTGGTTCCTGTTGCCTTTCTATTCTGGCACCACAAGGCCTTCCAGCTATGGTTTGTGTCTATTTCACTTTTGTACTGCTTGATAGCATTCGAACTACGCCATTCTGCACTGGTCTTAAAGCTTATTAGCATCTTGACTAGTTTTCTTGTTGTTATCTCGACCGGTATTTCATTGAGATAGGCCAAAAATCTTATGTGATGATTTTCCTCCATGGCTAGTAACGAACACCGAGCTAACCGAGCCTCTTCTTTTGCCAGTTGGTCAGCTCTTTCATTCCATTTCATCTTACTATGTGCCTTCACCTTACTCAACCGAAAAACCAAAGACTTTGATCTATATATATCTTTAATCTTAACTACTAAACTTGCATTCTGCTTCCTATTCAACAATCTTATATCAGTAAGCATTGTTAGATCTTCTAGGCTTGCGATAGCCACAACACTATCTAGCTTAACTATAACTTCACTTCTACATCTAGCTGTCAACACTACCATTATCACAGCTACTAACTCTGCCTTTGTTGATGATGGCCATCTACCAAATCTAATTTTTCCTTCTGCAAAGACTGTCTTCTCCAAATTATCGACCTGTACCCAACCTGCACCTATCCTACAACTTTCACTACTTTTGATTAAGGACCTATCAGTATAATACACACTACTATCTACATTTCTACTATAGTTACCCTCCAATTTCTGTATTAACAGCGACTCTAGCTCCTGGTCAAAACCCTGCTCTACAACTAAGCTCTTTTCATGTGAGTCTAGCACTACTATACTATTTATCTCACACTCGCTTTTTGCTTTAGCTAACATATTATTACCTAACCTAAAACCCTTAATCTCTCTTAATAGGACTGGTACTCTCTTTTCATTAACTATACTAATCTCAGGAATTGCTCCTAGTACCCTTCTTTTCTTAACCCATTGTTAACATATATCAACCTCATCTGTTTGACTCAATTTACACTTCTTGCAACTTCGCAGCCTATTTTTACTATTAGTCGATGACTCAGAAACCCAATGATCAATTAAAACCTGTGCCTTTCTTTTTTTCCTAACTCGACCAACTATTGAATCTGCATTTTCATTGTTGATGATTACTCACTCACGATGTCTCCGGTCATCAGATAACCTCTTCGTCTTTATTTGTATATACATCCAATTCTCTTCTGGAACTTTAAAGTTATCTTCTACCTCTCTACTTTCTATATATCTAATTACCTTTCTCTTAATCACACTAAACCATTTTGCCTTTCGGCCTTTCAGAGACTTTGTTCTCAATGCGCGTAGTTGGTTCCATGTTATCATCTTCATACCAGTTCTATCGATCAACTAGTTTATATAAAACATATTGAAACTTCTAATACTACTACAATAGGCACTATACATCTCTTCTCCAATTACTTTTGCTATTGTAGGACCTGTACCCCAAATTTGCCACTTCTCTGTATTAGCACGAAGTGATACACCTAATTCATTTACTTTGACTAAAATTGATCTTGCCAGATTATTTTTTCAGATCTTTTTGAGGTACCGATTTTGTGGTTTTGACCAATTTTCTTTTACTAACCCAGCCAATGCGTAATCTTCATTCAACCTTATTTGTGTCATCTTCCCCACTCGATCCAACCTATTAAGTCTATTCTGCAAGCATACTAGTTGTTTGCTAAATAGCTCCTGGCCCAAGGACCTACAACGATCTAGTCCTTGGTGTGTCACTATATAATTGCCTACTGTTGCCGGCAACCTTATTTTGTTCTTAAATATTCTTATTACCGGTTGGTATATTCTATCTATGCTTGCTTTGGTTAATTTTGTTGTCTGTAATATATAGGCTAGTTTCAGCACTATATACATGTTATTCACATAAATTAGTTGGCTGATAGACAGACTCTTGCACATTAATGTTCTTACAAAGTGCTCTACAATACCCTTTGCCTTTTTAGCAAATACAGTTTCACATAATTAATTTTTTTATATATTTTTTTTAAATTATTTAATTATTTAATTTTTGATACTTTTTAAATTTTTTGTATTTTTTTATTTGTTTCTTTATTTTTTAATTTATTTCTTTAATTTTTATTTATTTCTTTATTTTTATTTATTTATTTTTTATTTGTTTCTTTATTTTTTATTTTATTTTTCTTAATAGTTTTATGATCATATATATACATAAATCATGTGATCTCAATTTTGTATCATTATCCTAATTTCGTAGAACTTCAAAAGCACGAAATTCATGTGACTTCACCACTTAACAAAAATTTCAAACTTTACCTAATCGGAGTTTGAAATTTTGCTAATTTCACAAAAACACAAAAGAGTAAAGTCACATAACTTCGCCACTTAATTGGAGGTCCCATGAAATACCCAAATTTTCAAGAATAGGTGGGTGAGAGAGGTGGTGGCAAAGATTTTTGAAAAATTTTATATCACTAATTTTTTTTTAATATAAAATGTCCTGCCAAAAAAATATGACACCAACTGCATAATATTAAGGGGAGAATACATAATCTGAAGTGTATAAAAATCTCTACTAATAATGTTACAAATAACAAATAATGTGTAAAGACAATATCAACCAATTTTTCATTATTATTAATACAAAGCTTTATCTGTTTTGCTATAAATTATAATATGAAATTGATAAAAGTTTGAGAATTTTACTACAATATGATATCATACTCCCTCTAAACAACTCAAGCATCTAGTTATGA